ACATTAGACATTATTTTCTCTATTTTAAAAGGCTGTATATTAGGAACAGAAGCTGAAACATAATATTCTGTTTCATTTTATTCTCTTCAGGCACAAAGAGGCACAGATGTATTACACTAGCTAGACATATTTAGAGTCCTCTCTTCACCTGCTACACTAAATCCTTGGTTGAACACATGATAATCCAGTAGTCTAGAAAGAGAATTCAGAATTAGGGTGGTGAGGAGGGAATATCCTTCTTTGAGAATGCACAGAAGTTCAAGACATTTTCTTCCTCTTTATGCACACATAACTCTCCCTGACATCAGCTCTGGGACTGAGGCTTAAAGAAAGAATCAAAGATGTATTTTCTTCTACAAGCTCACTGCAAGAACTGCTAAAATCAGTATAACACAACCTAAAGGGAAAAAAATTTGATTTTTCTTTACGAAACAAACAAACTTTGACAGAGTTGTCCAAATCAGAATTCCCTTTACTGCTGTGTTTGTATAGCAGTATGTAAAGGTTTACTTTAGGAAATGTACAGAGTTAATCAGTGCAAGAGTTAAAAGCAGAGGTAATTCCAGCTCCTCTTCATGTCCAAGACTGTCAGGAATTCAGTTCACAACAATCCCTCTAAGTTCAGACTCTCCCCCTGCTCGGGTCACTCCTCATCCAGTGGTTAAATGAAAAACAGAGTTGATTGTGATGGGGAGTCCTGGCAATGGCTTGGACTCTTTCTCCTGTAATCCTCATCAAATAAGGGGCACACAACAAATTGCTTATCTCCCATCTGCAATTCTCCCCTCCACCCAGCTGTAAATCTGAATTAATTAATAAACGCCCTCATGTTTTCAAGGTCATGGAAAATGAAAAGCACTCAGCAAAATGGATGCACTGACAGTGAAGGGTGTTTGTGGGTGGGGTTTTTATGGAAATGGAAAATCTGTGAGGCAGCAGCTCCTTCATCTGTGCCCCAAGTGCTAAAGTTAGACAACTTACAAGAAAAGAAAGGAAATGCAAATAAATGATGTTTTGAACAAATGTGACCGTCCCTGGAAAAAGTGCAAGGCTTTATGGAGCAGGGTCTCAAATCACACGAGGAGGTCACAGGGTGACACGCTGGCTTTGGTGTGTCCCTGCTCACTGAGGAGGGCCAGAGGACAGCTCTGCTTTCTGTCCCCAGCACCTGCCCACCAAGGCCTGGCACAGGCTGCTCCCTGCCTGCCACACAGGGATAAAGCTTCTGTGGCATCTGCGGCCCCTGAGCTGTTCTCAGCTTGTGGCTGTGTTTGAAACACCCCAGCACAGCCCATGGCTGTGATAACCACGATGCACAGACCCACAGGGCTCTGGGAATGCCACAGCTGCCCTCTGAAGCTCAAACACCCTCACAGATTATGTCATTTGGGGAGGAAGATCAAAGGAGCACAGAATGGTTTGGGCTGGAAGGGATCTTAAAGATCATCCAGCAAAGGTGTGACTGAGGAATGTGACATTTGACAAGTTAGGAATGCCACCCCTCAGATAAACAGAAACAAGATGGGAACTGATGAGATCAATCTTTGGAGACACACAACTGAGTAACCTCTGAAAATAGAAAGGATAATGGCAGACACTCAGCTGGGAGCTCATGGTGCTTGAAGGATTCTCAAGCCAATCTTAATGCTGATATGGCCACAGGAAAGAGTCTGTGCAGTGTAACTGCAATACCTGGGGTGCAGCACATCAGACTGGAGCTGCTGGAGCCAGCCCAGAGGGCACAGAGCTGGAGCCCCTCTGCTCCAGAGCCAGGCTGGGAGAGCTGGGGGGGCTCCCCTGGAGAGGAGAAGGCTCCAGGGAAACCTCAGAGCCCCTGGCAGGGCCTGAAGGAGGCTTAAAAAATAGAGCAGGACTTTTTGTACAGGCAGGTAGTGCCAGGACAGGAGGCAATGGTTTTAAACTGCCAGAGGCAGGGTTAGATGGGATAGTAGGAATGAAATATTTTCCAGAGCAGCTGTGGCTGCCTCTGGATGCCCTGAAGTGCCCAAGGCCAGGCTGGACACTGGGGCTGGGAGCACCCTGGGACAGTGGCAGTGTCCCTGCCCATGGCAGGGGTGGCACTGGGTGGGCTTGAAGGACTCTTCCAACCCAAACCATTCTGAGATTTTGTGGGTGCCAAACACAATTCATCAGAGTTTACTTCTACCTTGCACTGATACTTGCAGTACTCAACACCAGAAACACATTAATTTGGCCTCAGATTTCCACTTGAAAATGTAAAGCTTATTGCAAAGGGGTAGATTTTATCAAGGAAAAAAGTGGAACAGCATAGAAGTGATGAGTAAAACTCAGTGCCTGCAGTTGCCACAGGTGAGTGAGTGTGAGAACAGCTGCCAGTGCCCAGGTCAGCAGAGGCCATGGCAGCACAGACCAGAACAACACCTCCAGTTTGTGAGTAAGGAACCTCAGAGCTCATCTGCCCCCAGGCTGAATGAGGCTGGCAGCACTGGATGAGGTGTTCTGGGCAGAGCAGGGCACACAAGTGCTGTGCAGCAATCAGAGCTGCTGAGATTCCAGCAGCACTCAGAGACATGGGCAGGGAGGCTGCTGCCCACAGACCCATTCCAAGGAAAGCAGAACTCTGTGAAACGTTAATTAATGCAATGAACCTGGGGAAATACCACAGCTACCAGCAAAGCAACTAAAGCACAAGGCAGCACTAATTATTACAGCAATCAAAGCAATAAATCAAATATTCTGAAGAGAATGTTTTCACTAGCCTTTGATTTATGCCACAGTGAGGAATCCCATTGATGCCCTGAACACAGCTGGGCAGAAGCAGATGGGAAGTGGTCAGCAGCACAGGGAAACTCCAGAATTGCTCAAAAGCATCTTTTGTTGCTTATTTCCACCCATTTCATGCACCCTCAATGGTGTTGATACATTATTGGTCCAATCTGTGTGAGCTCCTCCAGCCCATCCCCAGCACTTGTGGCAAATCTGTGCTCACACTTGACAGTAAAGTCACGGTGCTGTGATTTTATTGCGGCTCTTATCACCACCATTATTATTAAAAATCAATCATGGAGATTGTTCAGCAAAACACCCAAGACCAGAATGGACTGCTGTACACCTAACAATTATCAGCACATGATCAAATCCATATGGTGTAAGGAGGGATCTGTGTCCCTGCACTGCTTTTGGCACTTTCTCTAATTTATTAACAGGAGCAGAAACTTCTGCAGTGAGAAAATGAACTTGTAGCACTGTGAAGGCTGAGGCAAACCTGAAGCACACAGCAGTGACAAACCCTTGGCATCCTGATGGGATTTGCCATCTCATCTCTTATAAAACACCTTTTAACCTGTCAGTCTCCTGACAGCTTTTACTTGTCTCTTTCTTCTACATTTCATTCCATAATTTTTAAAAACTGGCAGCTTCTGTAGCCTCTTACCAAAAAAAAAAAAAAAAAAAAAATCAAACCACATTTTAACCATTTTCCTCTATGCCTATTCTCTGAATCCAGAGCTAATCATGTAGTTCCTCAAGGAAATAAGAATCTCTAAAGGCTTGTGTATTGGTCTCAACACAATGCTCATTTGATTTTATATATATATTTATATTTATATGTAAAATCACACATTCATGTCCAAAAATGTCCTAGCAGAGGCTAATAAAGCAAAAATCTATGAGGAGATTGAAGTATCTGATCCTCTTGGTTTCCATCTGCCTCTCACACTCACACTTTGACATTTTTGCTTCAGTAAAGTATCAAGTTATTGTTTTGTTCATGCAGAAGCCAAAAATCACTCTTGGAAAATAAGACACTGGAAATTGTTTTCTACACAAAAGAAATGCTGCAAACAGTTTCCTGCTGAAACAGGGGAAAATATTTTACCTACATGTACTCATCATATTTTTCTCTGACAAAAATGCTCAGCTTCTATAGACTCCAAGAAAGTCCCAAGTCTACTGGCAAATTCTGAACGTTTGACAAGCACAATTTGAGAAAGCCTCGTGGGGAAGCAGTGATTAGAGAAGGCAACTGGCAGCTGGGAAGCCCACGCTGAATTCCCAGTTTCATTACTGATGTCTCTGGATGACCTTGTCAAGTCATTTAATGCCTTTCTGCCTGCCTTTCCCTATCTGCAAAATGCTTAGATAAACACCTCCCCTTTGGAAACTCTGTAAAATTGTTTATTTTGGAAATAGTTCCTTGGATGTTAAACTGGCTCTCGGGTGCAGCATCAGATGAAAACCACAAGGGCCACAGGACATAAATGTCAATCTAATATTTTCTAATTAAACCATCTAGATTAAAGCATGCAGATTAAACCATCACAGTTTAATAGGTTAACCTCATCCCTGAAGGTTTTATTTCAGATGAGACAGTAGTTATTTAATTTTATTTATATCAGCCAACACAACAACATCAATGCAAAGCATACCAGTAAAGAAAAGCAGAAAAAAAATTGCCATAAACTTATTTTTTCTGCTATATTTGATTATTTACCCAAGTTTCATCTTGGTCAGGTGTATTGTATTGCAGTGGGCAATGCACAGAACAGGGATTAAAGATACTGGGATGGCTGAACTCATGGTGAGGGGCATCCACCAGCCCATTTGGGGTAGTCCTGAATGGTGCCAGGCTCCTCTGAGTCCCCTCAATCACCTCGACCAGCTCATGCACATTTTTAATGCTAATGGGCCAAGGTACGTACTATAAATGAAATATCAAAGTGCAGTCATGTTACCAACACTCCTTGTCCAAAGGAAGTATAGCATTACGTCATTGTAAAAGCATCTAATAGCTGAAATGGGGAGGAGAGTGCAAGTTTGATTTATTAATCCAGGTGTTTGCTCAGGCTGGCTAAAACCATCATACACACTGAAACAGCTTTTTCGACAGACCTCAATTCAGGTACCACAAAAACCCCTGTGGCAACTTCAGGAAGTGAATGCGACCAAGAAATGGAAAGGGAATTGAGAGTGTAGGACAGCGTTTTTACAGGGACTTGTCACTTTCTACCTGAGGAAGGATGCACGCTGACATCTTGGCCAGGTTCCACGGGTATGTCACAGGGGCAGTGACAGACATCGAGAGCTTCACATCCTCGTTCTCTTCCTTGCTGCGCAGCGCCGACCGCGCTCCCTCACGCCACAAAATGGCGGCCACGGCCTCCGCGCGCCTCTCTCCCCTCAGCGCCGACAGCCGGACCCGCCACATCGGCACGGCCGGGGGCTGCTTGAGAGCAGGGAGAGGCTGTAGCCACGCTGCCCGTGGACGGGGAGAGGAAGAAGAGGAAAAGGAAGGAAAAGGAAGGAGAGGAAGGAGAGGAAGGAGAAGAAGGAGAAGAAGGAGAAGAGAGAGCCAGGGTCTGCGTGGGGTAAGGCTGAGGAGCAAGAACCAACCGCCCCTCACGAGGCTGAGTCGCCACAGAAGGTGCGGCGCGAGCCCCCGCGTGCCTCGCGCTGATTGGCCAACA